GTTTTTTGTCAAAAAAATTGCATGCATAACCTTATGGAGGCTTATAGAGTGCTGCGGGGGGGGGGCCTTTGTAAAAATTGTTTGAGGTTCTGTCTAGGATGTTTCCCTTATCTAATGGACCATTTTTAATGTAATAAATAACTTTTCAGTGTTGAGAAGTACTAGCTTTATAAGATTCATAGCCATTGCCTTCTTTCTCAGCATGCTGTTCTCAGCCTCGACGGATAAAACAGTAGCAGTGTGGGATAGTGAGACAGGAGAGAGAGTGAAAAGACTTAAAGGACACACTTCATTTGTCAACTCCTGCTATCCAGCAAGACGTGGACCTCAGCTGGTTTGCACAGGCAGTGATGATGGCACAGTGAAGGTCAGAATTTGTACTCTACTCTTGCAGAATAACAGTGAAGGCTGGTTTGGTGTAGTTTTAATTACAGAGCAAAAAAACCTGGAGACGGAGTTCTAGTCCTGCCTTTGGCTTAAAAGCCAACAGGATGACTTTAGGCTAGTCTTTCTAATTGCCAGTCTGTCTGGTTGTCTGTTAGAAGCCAATGACTTTCAGCCTCTTTCAAATAGGCGGTGGCATTATTTTTTCCTATATTTTAATACTTGGTATTTTGATTCTGCTTATATATAATCTTGTGGCAGCATTTGATAAATGTTATCCGGAAGGTTTGGGGCCTCCTGAGAGATGATTGCTATCTTTTTCCCCTGGTAGATGCACACATAGATTGGTTGCCTATGGCAAAACAAGCCTACAAGAGAAAAACTAGAGCAATACGTGAAATTTTAGGAGAAGCTCTGTAGGCCAGAAGTGTCCAACCTTGGCAACTTTTAAGATTTGTGAACTTGCAACTTCCAGAACTCCCCAGCTGGCATGTGCTGGTGGTTTTACCACCCAAATATTATGTACAAATGGGTTCTTTACCCTGTTTGCCATCCTTCTAATGAATATGAAAAAGAGGTTTGTTTTGGGGGTATTTTCTTTTGCCTCTGGATGCATATCTCTTTTCAATCAAACATGCTCAATCTTGCTGTGGCCCGCCAGAGGAGCTGATGGCAGACTCAGACAGTGAGGAGGTTGGGGAGGAACATGGCCCAGTCCTGCAGTCTAGGGAAGGCTCTGATGAGGGCTCTGCGTCGGAGTTCAGGGGGGCAGAAGAGCTGCCAGGAGAAGGGAACAGTTAAGGAACAAGGGCCAACTCGGGAGTAAAGGCACAAGTGGACGTTGAAAGGCCCCTCCCATAAGGAATAAAGAGGACCAAAAGGGGAGTGGAGTTCGCAAGACACAATTAGTTCGCTTAATTAGAGTGAAGATTTGTTCATGACTCTCGGAGAGAGTCAAGTATTTGCCAAGTATTTTCTTGCACAGCATTGCATTTGGAAGATATCGGCCTGGCAGCTCTCCAAGCCTGATAAGGTCTGTGGTTGTAAATTCACCCTTAAAAGACTGTTTGCCGGGACTTTGCTGGATATGAATGAGAGGAATTCATATTAGCTTAATAAAGAGGGGTTTTGTCAGGACAAGGAGTCTGCTTTGTGATTTGGGGAAGCCTAGGTCAGAAGAAATGTGTAGATCTTGGGGAGAGTGACACCCAGTAACTGCACCTTCATTGCTCCTTCCCTACACAATGATCTTCTGTTCATAATTAGTAGGTTTAAGAGAAGCCCTGATCGCGTCATGCAATCGGCATATTTTTAATGTATAAAAATAAACACTTTTTCCTCCTCCTCAGCTCTGGGATATCAGGAAGAAAGCTGCTGTTCAAACCTTTCAGAACACCTATCAAGTATTAGCTGTGACCTTCAATGACATCAGTGATCAGATAATATCTGGCGGTATCGACAATGATATCAAGGTCAGTTGACTTGGTCCAGGAAGCCAGGTTTGATATTTATTTTGAAACGGATTTCTGTTTCCTCTTTCATTTCACGCTGTAAAATAACACGGGCAGCCCCCCCTCCCCTCCCCGGATAAAATGGGTTAAAAGCATAGATGGTATGGAGGTTTTCTAATTTCTTCTGGCACTTGAAATGTAACTTCTTTTGTGAGGGTGAGTAGGCAGTGCTACTTCGCTCTGATATTTCAGGTTTTTCTAAGAACAGGAATAGAAAATGGGTTTGGCTAAATGCCCCATATGTGGGCCATGAATAATGTGGGGCGGAGGGGGGGAGTCATTTCTTTCCATACCCCTAAAACTGTTTTGGATTTTATTCCTAAAATGGCATTGTTTTTAAACAGGTAGTCCTCAGCTTACGACCACAATTGTCCAAAAATTTCTATAGCTAAGGAAGAGAGTGAATTCTAACCCATTTTACGACCTTTCTTGCCACAGCTAAGTGAATCACTGCAGTTAAGTTAGTAACACAGTTGTTAAGTAAATCTGGCTTCCCCATTGACTTTGCTTGTCAGAAGATCGCAAAAGCTGATCATGTGACCCCGGGACACTGCAGCCGTCATATATAGGAGACAGTTGCCAAGCCCCTGTATTTTAATCACATGACCATGGGGATGCTGCAACAATCATAAGTCACTTTTTTTCAGTGTCCTTGTAACTTTGAATGGTCACTAAGTCAATGGTCAGGGACTACTTATAGAATCAATTGGTGGAAAGAAATCCCCGCATCTGGAACATGGGTGTAGGCTAGAAGTCTTTTTATTACAACTTAAATGTGGCACTTTTAGGGCCTCACTTTATCTATTGCTTGTTAGTTTCGAGTGGTGCAGTGGCCTAGAGATGGAGCGCTCGCCTCACAATCAGAAGGCTGTGAGTTCGAACCTAGTTAGCGGCAGATATTTCTCTCTGGGCACACTGAGAATATATCTGCTGAACAAAACTCATTGGCGACAGGAAGGACATCTGGCCATTAAAACACTCTGCTAGCTCCATTCAGTTGCCCAGACTCCTCCCCACAAGGGATTATACAGGGTCGAAGATGATGATGACTTCTTAGTTTCTAGTATGTCTTTCAAGTGTGAAATGCCAAGCCTGTGTTAAATGTCTTAAAGGTATGGGACCTTCGTCAGAACAAGCTAACTTACACAATGAGAGGACATGCGGATTCTGTCACCGGTCTCAGCCTAAGTGCAGAGGGCTCTTACTTGCTTTCCAATGCAATGGACAATGCAGGTAATCACTTTTTCCCTACTCTCCAGATATGGTATCCTCATCAGTTGCTCATTAGTGGCAAGCAAATGAGAATAGCAATGGCACTTAGACTTCCATACAGCTTCATAGTGCTTTACAGTCCTCTTTAAGCAGTTTATACTCCATGATGCTGCAGCCATTTAAATATTGTGTTTCCCCAAAAGTAAGACCCTGTTTATAATTTTCCCACCAAAAAAAGGCACCAGGTCTTATATTCGGGGGGGAATGTTGTCCACTGACTCACCTCACTTGCATGCATCGCCCCTGGCTCTTTTTTGCTATCAGAGGCCTTCCGGAACTTCTTCATCTGGCTAGGCCAGCAAAGCTTTCCTGAAGGCCTCTGTAGCCGATAACAGAGTTCCGGATCGATCCAGAACTCTCTTTATCGGCTACAGAGGACTTCAAAAAAGCCTTGCCGGCTACAGCAAAAGAAATGGGCCAAGGTATGTGAGGTCTGGTTGCAACTTTCTGAAGGTAAGTAGCAGGGCTGCTCCACCACCCCCATCCTCAACTGTGCACCCTGGAATGGGCGGGGTCTTAATTAGGGCTTATTTTGGGTGGGGATAGAGCTTATTTTGGGCGCATGTGTAAAAATCAAACTAGGGCTTACTTTTCTGAGTAGGTTGTATTTTCAGGAAAACACGGTATATGCCAGTTGTCAAGTGCCTGGATTTTGATCACGGGGCTGTGGGATGCCATGACAGTCATAAGTGCGAGGACCAGTCATAAATCATTTGTTTCAATGCAACTGTAATTTCAGTCCCTAAACAAATGATTGTAAGTCATGTTATCTGTAATAACATGGCCATGGTAAATAGTTGACTGACAGTACTCATGGCTTTAGAGCAACAGTGGTGTAGAGATGAAAATTAAGAATGAGAGACTGGCTTGAGTGACAACTTTCTGGTGGAATCCAAGGAGTGAAACAAAGAGATAAAGAACAATTAAGTGAGAATCCTACAATGGTTTTTATGTCACTTCCCCGTTCAGGAATAATTTTAAATTATCTTCTTTTGATTTGAGCAACAATAATGGGTGAAATTCAGCACTCATGTTGGGTATTGAGTATTCGGTTTTAAGTTGTCCTCCCAGGGATCTTTTAATCTTGGCTGTCAGGGAGAACTGAGATGATAATCACTCTACATGTTGCAACTTTATTTGATGTTATTGTTGTTATTATTGCATTAAAATTACATTTTAGCAGCTGGCTGGCAATTAAACCTGCATTATGAGCCAATATCGAAATAATGAGCCCTGGATGCTACATGCTGGTTTTGATTTTGTTCTAGTTCGCATCTGGGATGTTCGGCCTTTTGCTCCCAAAGAAAGATGTGTGAAGATACTCCAAGGGAACGTGCATAATTTTGAGAAGGTAAGTGAAGTGTTGGCTGAAACATTGCCTGTTTATGGCTGGTAGTTGACAGTTAATTGATGAATAAATGGCTTTTAAAACTCGGAATAGCTGCAAACCCTTTAAGAAGGCCTACGTTGGAAATTAATGCGTGGGATAAAATTCCAATTAAGAGCTGCTGCAAAAGAGCTCCCTCCCCCCTCCCCCCCAGTGCAGTTGTCTATAAATTAACCTTTTTGACATTCACAACAAATTTCATAGTAAGAAAGCAAGATGCTCATAGTGCTGGCAATAAAATCTGGTACAGAACTGCGGACTAAGGTTTCAGAGGAAAAGCATTCCTGGAGTATTGTTAATATCACAAGCCCTGGTAGATTTCCCTTCGGATAAAAATAAAGAACATGAAATACGCCTGGAATTGGACTGTGTTTCCTTCTTTGTTAGAACCTTTTGCGATGTTCCTGGTCCCCGGATGGAAGTAAAATAGCTGCTGGATCTGCAGACAGGTAAAAAATCTGCTGGTTTAACTTTTTAACATTTAAAAGCCCTCCCCCTTTTATTTTATTTTAGCAATAAATCAGTAAATAAAATGATGATGANCACTCAAAAAACGAAGCAACATTTATTAACATACTGTCTCCTTACCCTGCTCCCCAATAACAACAGAAGCTAACACAATATTCTCAGTTCTGTCTGTCTGATGCTAAAGATCAGGCAGCTTCTTGAGATCTAACTGTTTGGAAATATCAGAGGGAATATTTACATAAATATGGGTCTTCTAGTGTGCTATTTCTTTTACTGAATCTTATCCATCTAAAAATTGTCTCTTTAAATAGGAATCTCCCCTCTTTGGGAATAAATCTTATCCACTTTGGCATGACTAAGTTGTGAGTGTGTGTGTGAATGACATTTAGCACCAAACCACCAGCTGCTATAACACAATTCCACACTATTTCTAAGATGTTATTCAAAAAGCTTTACCAAAGCCAGTTAGTTAGTTTCTAAACCTATTGATTAAAGACATCCTAGTATGGGAAGGATTTTTTTTTTTAAAAAAGCACACTTGTGCTAATTAAAAGAAACCCACTTTATTAAACTTATTATCTATTCAACCTATATGAACGTAAAACCTTGTTAACTGTTTCGGACCATACCTCTCCTTGGAAAACAGAATAGAGTTCTGGAAGCTGATCCATTGCTTTCAACTACCACAAACGGAGTTTATGCCAATCTTCTGGTCAAGGTTCCTTTTCTATATTCTATATTATCCCCTGGGCAGCTAAAAAAAAGAGAAAGCTCTTGCACTGAAAAAGAACCAACGTTAAGGGAGACATATTACAAATAACACAAGTCACTAAACAACAGTAAAGCGAGTCCAAGCTTTTTTCCCCTCCCCATTCCTGTCAGCGTGTACACCTTGCTCCCTCCCCTCACCCGGCAGTGGATGATGGGAGCCGTCCTTCACTTCAATGTCACGTTGGACTACAACTGCCATTAATTTTACCTCACAGGAAAAACCGTGAGGAGAAAGTGACAGGCCTTGTTACCCTCGAGAAGGAGGAGCCAAACTGAACAGAATTTAAAACTCGAAACCGCCTTCCCCGGTCCTTCTCGTCCCGACTCGCATCGTCAGGATACAGAGAGCTCCAACCGCCGTCTTCGTTATCTGTCGCCCTCAGAGCGCAGGCAACCTTCTGCCCCCCCCACACACCTTTCAGCCAATGGGGAGACAGAATAAACGCAGGGTCGAGCGAGAGTCCCGACCATTCGGCGTCCTCCGTGTTAAGCGTGGCGACCTCAACGCCTACTTCTTGGTCCTCCCGCCTCTCCGCCAGCATCTTCAGCCAACCGGCGTCGGGAAGAGGCCTGTAAAAGAGCCAATGAGGAGAAGTGGGCGGGGTCTCCACACACTTGGTCCCGCACGGCGGCGTTGAGGGCCTCCGGCGCGATGATCGACCCGCAGAAACGGAAGGCTCCCGGGCCGGATATGGCTTTGGTGGCGGCGGCTGCTGCTGCTGCTAAGAAACCCCGCCATGAGCTCATCTTGGGGCCGGGCCCCGGAGCTGGNATGATGATGATGATGATGATGATGATGATGATGATGATGATGATGATGATGATGATACTTAAAACCAGGTTGATCCAGAGAATGTCTTGGTTAGTCTCAGTTGCAGTGGCCACCTTTATTATTGTTTTTTACTGTATTTTATTTAGTAATTTGTCTTGTATGTTCCTTTTAATTGATAATTCACAGAATTGTGTTTTGATCTGCATGGTCTAAAATGTATAACAAACCATATACCTGCTGCAGTTTTGCAGCAGTACATTCAGATCCATTGATTCTAATTCCAATGATATAGGGTTGTGTTAAGTACGGTAGCTGCAATTCACTGGTCTGAAGCTAGCTTCTGAGGTTGGCAGATTAGGGCAAGCGTGTCAAACTCAATTTCATTGAGGGTCGCATCAGGGTTGTGTTTGACCTTGGGAGCGTGGCCAGGGGGCATGGCCAACTCAACATCAAACACGTTGGGGGCACCTGTGATGGCCCAAGAGCTCTACCAGTGAAAACGGGCTCCCGAGTTCCGTTTTTGGCTGCAACGGCCTCCTGCAACCTCTCTGCCAGTGAAAACGGACCTCAGAAGTGCCACACGCAGCCCTCGCGAGCTCTGTTTTTGGCTGATATGGCCTCCTGCAACTCTCTGCTCGCGAAAATGGAACTCAAGCTCCATTTTCGCTGGCAGGCGCACCGCAGACTAGTCCTTTGCTGTTTCCAGATTTACTAAAATGCAAATCTAAGGACTTTTTTTGTTTTTAAAAAAAGATTCTCTAGTGGTATTTAATGTGGCCAAAACAAGCTTATATGTTCAGCAGCTTCTGTGTTTATATTTCATTTGAGGAAACTGATCTCTTACGTTCAGGGAGGCCTTTATGTGTGTTTGTCATTATACACAGGTTTGTTTATGTGTGGGATACAACCTCCAGAAGAATCCTCTACAAACTTCCAGGCCATGCAGGTTCAATAAATGAAGTGGCGTTTCATCCAGAAGAACCAATAGGTAAGTCCTTCCTATGCACGACCAGCAACCTTGAACATATGTGCTAAATAGTATGAAATTATCCTTTTTAATAATCTAACATAACTCTGAAGGAGCTCTTCTTCCTTGCTGGTTCATTGCTCTGTTAGAGCACTTAGGTTGCAGATATTTAAAGAAATGCCTTAGAAACACAAATATTTAAGCTGATAAAATAAAACAAGTCCCCAGAATGATTGAAATGGGACCTTTCACTTAACCTTTTAACCAAATCTGCCTTCCTTTCCATCAGTACTTTCTGCATCTAGTGACAAAAGACTGTATATGGGAGAGATTCAATGAGGAAGAGCGTGGATTAATTCTGAAGATTTGCAGAACTTGATTGCTTCCAACTAATTTGAAAAGGAGGAGGAGGAAGAGGAAGATGGTCCATGAAAAGATTGCAACTGTCATCTTTCCAGGGCAGCGTTAACTCGCTATCTGTATCCTAAAAGATCTCGTCTTGAATTTTTTAACCATATTTGCAGCAGCCTAAAACACGCGGCAGCCCAGCTCCATACTGTTGATGGATGCGTAAATGCTTTATTTTACCTTTAAAATGTGCTCTCTCTTTTTTGAAATCGTTTTGACCATGGTAAAGTGGGGAAGTTAGCATTTAATATTGAATGCTTCCCTAAGATTCGTTTGTCATTTTTATATTAAAAAAATATGAAATGCCTTGTAAAAATTTCGGGTGGAATTTATTGACATAGATGTCTTTTGCTCTACGATAAACAACAGTCCAGGGGCAGAAGACTGGGCTAGTTACCGTATTAAATAATCCTTACAGTGGGTAGCAGCGTGCTAGCGTAATATTTCATACAGATCTAATTAAGATTGTTTTTATTGGATTTTTTTAAACTCAAAAGGATAGCCTAAACTGAATTGCAGAATCACTTGTCTGTTCAACAGTGAGCATCACCCAAAATAACTCATTCAGAAAATGATTAATTGAAAACAACGATATACTGAATGAGGTTGTGGATGTCTTCATTCACATAAGTGGTCTGGTCCTTTCTCAGTAAATTGTGTCTGTTCTTCCCGTCACAGTGCCACAAGTGTAGAAAATTTCTTTCTTTTAGTATGTATTGAAATATTCATTTTAGAAAAGGAAAAGCGTACTTGAGGGGACACACGCACAAAACATGTGGGTGTATGTCAGGGGTGGGTTCTATAGAAGAGGTTCCACAAATCTACAGTGCCATTTAGAACCGGTCCCAGCTCTCTCCCCCTGCCCGTCCGCACATCATCAAGATGAAGAGCGAGAG